CTGCCGGTTGGTATTAACTTAGACTCTTCCATGTCACCCAAAACAGAATCCGAGAAGTCTGAAATGGTTGACAAACCCTATCGACCACTTCTTGGCTGCGTAATGTGGGGACAGCTAGCAACTCGACCTGATCTCTCCTTCGCAGTCAGTTTACTATCTCGCTTCCAGAGCAACCCCGGAATCACTCATTGGCGCGCCCTACTTCACGTCGTTGGATATATTAAATCTACTATCAACGACGGCATCACTTTCTCTCGTGATTTCCCTCTTAAACCAATGGGTTACGTCAACGCTAGCTACGGTGATGACCCCGACACCAGAAGATCAACCTCCGGCCAAGTTTTTGTTATGTCCGGAGGACCGGTCTCATGGAGCTCGAAGAGACAGGCTACGGTAGCACTCTCAACGGTTGAAGCGGAGTATGTGGCCTTATCGAGAGGTGCACAACAGCTGAAGTGGATGTACGCATGGATGGAGGAGATAGGGATGGAGCAGGAAAAGCCGGGTGTACTCAGAGGGGATAATGAGGGAGCGGTTAGCTTGACGAAGAATACTCATGGCCATCACCGCGTCAAGCACATCGACCTTTGAACCCATCATATCCGAGAGCTTGTTTCCAGCAAGGAGCTTGTCGTCGAAGGCATACGTGGAACCAAGAACCCAGCGGACTTATTCACAAAACCATTACCCCGCGATACTCACCACCGCTACCTTGAGGAACTCAACATTGTTCAGGTATAGACGTCCAGACGTGGGGGAGTGTTGAAAGACATCCGGACGTCGTCGGACTCCGTAGACAGTATTTGTTTCCTTTTTCATTAGCCTCCTTTTTCTACCGATCAACTCCTAGATACCAGTACAGTATAAGTAGCTTATCGTTCTTTTTCCGTACCTCAGTTGTTCAACTCTACGTCTGAGGTATGCTATTACTTATTATGACTTTCTTACTTTACTGATTCTGTCTTGTAGACTTATCATTATTCATTAGGTAGCTACTTAATACACCAGTCGTTCAACTCTATGTCTGAGACTTATCATTATTCATTAGAAGATCTTCACAAAGATCGACCTCCACGCAGGATACAACAACGTCAGGGTAGCCCAGGGACACGAGTGGAAGACTGCATTCTGAACTTGGTATGGGTCATTCGAGTACCTGGTAATGCCCTTTGGGCTCACGAATGCTCCCTCTGTGTTTCAATTCTTCATGAACGAGATCTTTCATGATATGGTGGACGTCTGTGTGGTGATTTATCTGGACGACATACTGATTTACTCAGACGACGAGGAGTCCCATGTGGAGCACGTCAGGAAGGTCCTGGAACGATTATGGGCCAACCACCTCCACGCAAAGCCGGAAAAATGTGCCTTCCATGTCGACACCGTCGAGTACTTGGGGGTGATCATATCACCATTGGGAGTATCCATGGATCCAGAGAAAGTGAAGGCAGTAATGGACTGGCCAAAACCAAGGACAGTGAAGGAACTCCAGGTGTTCCTAGGATTCGCAAACTTCTATAGGAGGTTCATAGACAATTATTCGGGAATTACCAAGGTGTTCACAAAGCTCCTACGGAAAGACTCCGTGTGGAACTGGACCCCACAGTGTAGCAGTGCGTTCGAACTACTAAAATCAGCATTCTCAGAGGCTCCAGTCTTAGGACACTACAACCCGGACCTACCAGTGGTCCTCGAATGTGATGCTTCCGACTTGGCGATAGCAGGGATCCTCTCACAGCTAGACCCAGAAACGGGCGAGATACACCCTATCGCCTTCCATGCACGATCAATGATCTCCATGGAACTGAACTACGACATCTACAATAAGGAGCTCTTGGCTATTGTGGACTGCTTCAAACAATGGGCATACTGCGAAGGATCCCGACACCAGATCCAAGTATACTCAGATCATAACAACCTCCAGTACTTCTCCACGACGAAGCAACTGACAGCGCGACAGGCCCATTGGGCGGAACTCCTCTCGGGATACGATTTTGTCATCAACTATCGACCAGGGAGGTTGGGAGCCAAGCCGGACGCACTCACCCGAAGATCAGACGTATACCCAAAGAAGGGAGCTCCAAGGGATCAAGTATTAGCGGGGAGGGAAAGGGTTCTTATACCTCCAGAACGTCTGAACACTACCATCCTCATGAACGAGGACCTACTAGTAAATCAAGTAAGGGAAGCTCCAAAGGATACGACTATAATTGAAGCACTGAAGAGGATCGCGCGCAGCAAAGAGGAGTCTCTCATTTGGGAGGATGGACTGATTAAGAGGGGAGGCCGTATATATGTCCCAGACGTTGGAACCTTACGAAGGGAGGTCCTACAGTCATACCACGACCATAAGTTGAGGGGATATCCGGGAGAGAAGCGCACCAAGAAGCTCGTAAGAAGCTCTATGCGAAAGGGCATGTGTTCAAAATATACCAAGCTGGGGCTTGGGAACATTGCGGAGCTACTTAAATAGGTATGGGAAGTGAACAAGGGAACATCAGGGAGTCTAGAGGACATGAGGCAGATAATGGAGAGAGGCAGGTGATCGAGATTAGTACTTAATGGGGCTGGTGGTAGGAGTGTTTTGTACGCATGTCGGGATGGTCGTCAAAACGTTTGGGTAGGTACACATCAGGGAAGTGGTGGTACTGTCTTGGGGAGGTGCAAAGATAGGTAGGGAATGTGAGAATGTGTGGCTGATGCTGGGGTTGGTCTGGTTGCAGTCAGGGCATGACATTACCCCCCCTTGTAACCCCTTTGTGCCCTCGCGATGTGTAGTCGCATTTTCTGGAAAGTCACCTGACATTCATGTGGTACCCGAAAATTTTCTTGTTGAAGTCCGTCAGATACCTGCTTTTTCCCCCTCTTCCACCACCTCAGTTTTACGGGTCAAACTCCTTTAACTGTGATGTCTGCTCTTATTCGTTGCTCCAATTCACACACTCCCTCTCCTCAGTTGCCTACTCTTACCACTTTGGGGAAGGTACCTTCCCCGGGTCTTGACTCCGATGGGGAAGTCGAGCAGGACCAATTAGCTTTTACCATTGAGTTCCCGTCTCGTCCACAACTTCAGTTGTTCAAGACAGTCTTTAATACTGGCAAGCTGTAAGACCTGGGTCAGAATAGGTCTTAGGGTAGGTTTTGGTATATGGAGTTTATGTTGTAGCATGCTAGGAGCAGGCTGGAGCTCGAAGGGAGCTACGGAAACCGCGACCGAGGACAGGAATGACCTAGTAGTGGCTGGGATAGAGAGATATGACTGTTGAAGGGGTTCCTGTAAGGTCCAGGGAGGTCCCTAAGGCATAGGTAGGGAAGGTAGAGGTACGAATCCTAGTAGCATTGCGTAGAAGGAGTTGTACTCGCTAGAATGTCAACGTAAGATTGAATAGGTTGTAGAGAGACTGAGTCTTGAGTGCGTAAGCTCCTGAGAAGGTATATGCCTGGGAGGGGAGGTCCCAGGAACTGGGGGTTAGAGGTGGACGTCCTCAAGTGTTGGAGGTGGTAACGGAGAAGCGGCACTTAGTTCGACGTAGGGGGTAGCTTCGACGTTACCTAGATGGAGGTCCCAAAGCTTGTGGAGCAATTGGGGAGCTCAAGGAGGTTTTGGGGAGGTTAGCTCACCAAGGCATTAGGCATTGGGGAGCTTTAGTATTGTTCGAGGGAGCTCGGAGACTCACTCGGATTGCTTAGACGTGAAGTAAAAGCGTGTATTGGATTGTATAGACGATTGTAGAGACAATAGACAAGAGTTGAGAGAAACAGAGATAGAGAAACAGAGAGTAAAGAGAAATCCGTATGGTTAGCAGGTACAAAGGGGCAGGAACTGGACCTATGCAAAAGGGTGTGTGTTCGAAATATACCAAGCTGGGCTTCGGGACGTTGCGGCGCTACTTAAATAGGTACGGGAAGTGAACAAGAGAACATCTGGGAACATGAGGCAGCTAATCGAGGGAGGAAGGTAATCGAGATTTTATACTTAAAGGGGTTGGTGATTTGGAGGGTGTTGTATGCGTACTGGGGTGAACGTCAGGACATTTGGGCAGGTATGCCAGGGGAATGGTGATAATTGGGGAGGTGCATGGTGGTACTTGGGGCCTGGGGAGGTGCATGGTGATACTTGGGGAGGTGTAGAGGTAGATAGGAGATACTGGCTGGTACTGGGACGGGTCTGGTTGTAGTCAGGGCATGACACAAGCCGCTATCAGGTTATTGTCAGGACAATCCTTTGTGGCCTCTTCTGGCGGAGGTAGCTTCCCCTTGCTCCAACTGTTTGAAATCTCTGGGTAAATGCAAGGTTTTACTGAACTCCCCTCGATGTACCAATTGCTCTGTGAAAAAGACTTGTAGTCTGGGGAAGATCCTCTGGTATTGGTATTTCGCTCGTCACTGCAATCAGGATCTCGCATATAGCCGTAGGTTTTTGGAGCTCCACGGAACTCCTGCACATCTGGGGTATTCCTTTGAGCACCTGGCGTCAATATGATGCTGCCCTTTATACTCGCACTTCTTTGACCTCCACCCTCCTAGAGTTGAATATGCTTGACGAGCGGGATACTGCCGATGCTGACCAGCAAGAGCTGCAGAAGTTCCTTGCTTTGCAACAGGACGAAGCAGCTGTCGCGGCTAAACATAAGCGCAACTGTTCTCCATTGCCTATGGCTGGTCCTTCCAGCAAAAAGGTTCGGTTGGACGCTTCCAAGAAGTGTTCCTGTCATGGGTCCCCTGTGGAGGAGGCAGTTCAAGAGTCTCCCCTTCATGTCTGACTGGTGGTTCCCCCGGGTTGGTTGGTGGCAGCTTCCACTTCCACTCCAGTTCCCCCTCGCACCTCCCCTTCCTTAATGGAGGTACCTGGCGGGGACCTGCCGGTGCAGGGTCCCAGCAGTCTAATTTGGTTGGCGGCTGTTGCTGAAGCTCAGTCCGGTTTGGTTCAGCAACCCATTGTCCCTCCTTCTACTCGAACACCTATAAAGGGTACAGGACCGGACCTCCTTTCTTCCAATATGCCTCCTGCTCCTCGTCCCACCCTGGTACCTCGCGCTCTTGCTGCTCACCCTTACCGTGCTGAAAATCAGTGTCTTGCTGCTCGTGTTTGGTTGTTGGAGTCTCAGCTGGCTGATTCTCAGTGGGAGAATTCCTCCCTTACCTCTGCTCTTTGGGATACTTCCCATGCTCTCGAATCTCGACAGCAAGAAGTAGAGCAGTTACGGTCTTCCAGTCATGAGGTCCTAGAGCATGAAATGGAGTACCGTCGCGTGTTGGATCAGTTCATTGCTTTGGATGAAGCCTTACCAGGGACTCCTGGTCAAGTAAGTACTTAATTTTTTTCTTAATTTTTCCCCCGTGATTGACTCTTCTCCTCAGAGTCTCTTGGAGCATTTCCAGAAAGTGCAGAAGGACCTTCGAGACGCTACTAGGGAGTGCAAGATCTCTGTGGAGAAGCTGTCCTCCTCTACCCGCAAGAATTCACAGCTGACGACCATCTTGCTGTACCAACAAGGTCTTGTTGATGAATCTAATGCTTTAGCAACATGTCAATGTCGCCTTGTGGAGAAATTGCAAGAAGAGGTCCATCGTGGTCGCGATTGTGCAGCTTTAGTCGAGCAAATGGTCAAGGAGTACCCTGATGAGGGTTACTGTGAAATTCATGCCCATCCACTAACACAAAATCCAACTGAGCCAAAAGGCTACTATGACAGGATAATTGTCATAGGTGGTTGGGACTATATATACCACATGTATTAAGACCTCTCCGCATAATCTTAACAGTTACTACGAGGTTGTTCTGCCCTCCCTTTCGCAGCTCAAAGGTGACCTTAATAAGGCTGGCGAGGACCTCCGCCGTGTTGCTACCTTTGCTCACTGCCTTCATTGTTCCGACCCTGCCACCATCCTTTACCACCACCACCACCATTATATCGGGGCGATTATCGAAGCTGTGGTCGCATTCCTCCGTCTGTCAAGTCCATGCCTCGGGCCTCCATTCCGCTGCTCGGTATTCCAAAGATCCACCGTTTATTGTAATCTCACTCTTATTGTTCTTTCTTGCTACACATACCCTTTCATTCTAGTCCCTTCTTATTGTCTTTTACTTTACCCTGCAGGTACTACTTGTATAGCTCCTAGTAGTTAGTCTAGCGCTCCGCACCGAGGCGCCGCTCTGTAGATATAAATACTGCCTGTACGCTACTGTAGTTCCTCAGTTTCATTATCAACTTAGATCACCCTTCCGACTTAGATTCCCTCCTTAACTCTGTGCTCCTCTAAGTCTTCAGGCTCATCGCCCATAAGTACTCTCTGCTATAACCTTAGGACTTAGACGTCCTTTGGTTCGCTCCTCATCACCAGCGATACCGCCGCCGCTCCGACTTAGCTGCTACTTAGCTGCTCCCTTCTATACTCCCAATCTCCAGGGACTAACGGCATAACGGCGGTGTTGTTAATAACTTCACTACTGTCCCACTCGACCTCCCGCACTTAGACACCTTGTGGCCTCTGGCACGGTTACACGGTGTACATGATATCCTCGACCCGGATCTCGACTCGCTGCCGGCCTGGACGTCCTCCTTCAAAGCCCTTGTAAAGGAGCTTCAGGACAATTTTGGCATTTACAATGCCCAAGGCGAGGCCAAAGATTCTCTTGGTAATCTAAAGATGAAGGAAACCGAGAACATCCGGTTCAACACCCTAGCTGCTAGTACCAACTGGGATTCTGCTGCCCTGAAATGGGCTTATGGACGAGGTTTAGCTGAACGCATCAAGGACGAAATGGCGCGTTTGCCCGAGCTGGTGACGCTCGCCGATTATCATCAAGAGGTTCTTCGCATTGACAACCGTTATTGGAAACGCGAGGAAACTAGAAAGCGTGAGGCGGGTAAGCCTTTTATTTCTCGGAACCCGAAGAAGGGTTCCTCGGACTTTAAGACTGGTTCTACTAACCAGCAAAATAACTCTCAGCCATCTGGCTCTTCGGCGCCGTTCACGCCGAAGCCTAAACCCTTCTCTGGTGGTAAGCCTAACAACAATGGTAAGCCCCAGAACTCTTCGAATTCCGGCCAATCCAGCGGTCAGCGCCCCGCGTTCAACCATCTTGGTGCAGATGGGAAAGTCCTTCCCTCCAAGAGGGAAAGAAGGATGAAGCACAACCTTTGTTTCTTCTGCGGCGGTAAGCATCAGATTGCTGACTGCAATAAGCGAAAGGCCCAAGAGTCGAAGGGCCGTGCTGCCGAAGTTGAAGAAACCCCTGAAGCAACCACCGAGGCTGTTGAAGAGGAATCGGAAAACTAGTCCGCAGCTCTTGTTCCCCGGTACGGAACAGGAGCTGCGTTGATCAGGTTCGTACCTCACCTGGGGAGTTATATCTCAACGCATCCGCTCTTTCTTCCATTGAACGATCTCTTGTAATATCTTTAACTACTGAATTGCCATTATCCGATTCGGCCGCGCCGGCCGAACCCATCTCTTCTCTTCTTAAATTTCCTACTCTTGTTCATTCTGGCTCTACTGACTCTTTCATCGATACTTGTTATGTTTCTCAAAATTCTATTCCTACCACCAAAATCTCTCCGGTTAATCTTCATCTCTTTGATGGTTCATTATCTTCTAAACCCATTACCAATATGGTGAACATCGCCATTTGGTTCTCTTCTGGCGAGCTGCTTCTATTGCCCTTTTATGTCACTCATTTAGATTCATCTTGTAAAGCAGTATTAGGTTACAGTTTCTTATCCCGCTACAATCTGTTGATTGACTGGGCATCTCAAGACATTACGTTCTGTAACACTTCACTTCCTGATTCTCCACAGATGTCTGTGCCTTCTGCCACCAACACTGTCGATGCAAAGGTCGCTGTTCCGCTACCGGAATTTTTGCCGTCGGTTTCACTGACAATTCTGGAAACCCCTCCAGGGGATCCACCTCGCTCTCGCTCTCGCTCCCGCTCTCGGATGTTACGGGCCAAGCCCCTCTTGTCTAAATTCCCTTTTGAACCCATCTATTCCTATCCTACGGTCTCTCAATTCGCTGCTCAACTGGAAACTCCCGAGGTTGACATTGCACTGGTCAGTGCTGCAGTCTTTAATAGGGCTTGCAAGGAGGCTGGAATGGAACTCATTCTACTTCGTGCTATCCACTCTGAGGTCGCGGCCCGCGCCGCCGACCGCTTCTCCACCGCTCCTACTGTCCCTCCCCTTCATCACTCTATTCCAGAAGAGTACGCCGAGTTTGCAGACGTCTTTGACGAGATTGCTGCAGATTCACTGCCCGAACACAGACTCTACAACCTGAAGATTGACTTAGAAGAAGGTGCTTTGCCGCCTCTCGGTCAAATTTATCCTTTGTCTGAAAAGGAGTTAGTTGCCCTTAAAGACTTTATTGACAAACAACTGGCCACTGGTGCCATCACCCCATCTTCCTCGCCTCACGGCGCTCCGGTACTCTTCGTTCCCAAGAAGGACGGGACACTTTGGCTTTGCGTGGACTTCTGCGGTCTTAACCGTATCACTAAGAAGGACCGCTATCCCCTGCCGCTGATCTCGGACCTCCTCGATGCTCCGAAACGAGCTGAAATCTACACCAAATTGGACCTCGCGCACGCTTATCATCTAGTCAGAATAGCAGAGGGTGATCAATGGAAAACCACCTTTCGGACGTGCTACGGATGCGCTACGGCTCCTACGAATGGAAGGCTATGCCGTTCGGCCTTACGAACGCACCTGCTGCTTTCCAACATTTCGTTAATGACATTTTCTCTGACATGTTAGATGTTTGTCTCATTGTCTATCTCGACGACATTCTGATCTACTCCGACACGCCGGAGGAACACCGAGAACATGTCAAGGAAGTTCTGCGGCGCTTGCGGACACATCGGCTTTACGCCAATCCTGACAAATGCAAGTTCAATATGGATACTGTTGAGTACTTGGGTTACATTCTTTCTCCTGACGGATTGACTATGTCCAAAGAGAAAGTGCAGACCATTCTGGAATGGCCTGTTCCTAGGAAGGTTAAGGAGATTCAGTCCTTTTTGGGTTTTGCAAACTTCTATCGTTGTTTTATTTATAATTATAGTGATATCGTTGTGCCGATGACTCGGCTTACCCGGAAGGGCGCTCCCTGGATCTGGGACAATGACTGTCAAGAGGCTTTCGAAAACCTCAAAATTGCTTTCACTTCTGCGCCTATTCTCGCTCACTGGGAACCCAATCGTCCTATTATTGTGGAAACCGACACTTCCGATTACGCCATTGCGGCGATTCTCTCCATACAGACTGTTGATGGTGAAATTCATCCTTTAGCTTTCCTTTCCAGAACTCTTCATGCTGCGGAGCTCAACTACAACACTCACGATAAAGAGCTCCTTGCCATCTTCGAAGTTTTCAAAGCTTGGCGCCATTATCTGGAAGGTTCCGGCAATCCGGTGGATGTCGTTACCGATCACAAAAATCTTGAGTATTTCTCTACTACCAAGATTCTCACCTGTTGACAGGTCCGTTGGTCAGAGTATCTCCACCAATTCAACATGGTAATTTGCTTCCGACCGGGGAAGCTCGGCGAAAAACCAGATTCGATAACTAGATGCTGGGACATCTATCCCAAAGAGGGGGATATTGGCTACGCGCAAGTCAACCCTCACAACTTCAGACCTATCTTCACTAATGAGCAACTGACTACTTCTTTTCGAGCTACCTTCTTAGAAGGCCCGATGCTCCGAGCCTCTATCGTTATGGATATCGAAGCTCTGCATCAAGCTATCATTCTCGCTCTTCCGAAGGACCCGAGCTCCATCGTTGGGTTGGAACTTGCCAAAGATCCTTCCCATGAACATTGGAGCTTAGGTAGTGATGGGTTATTACGCCTTGATGACCGTATTTATGTTCCTAATCACGGTGATCTTTGCCTTCAAGTTCTCCGCTACTTTCACGATCACCCACTCTCCGGCCATTTCAGCCAGAACCGCACTCTAGAAGTTGTACGTCATCAATACACCTGGTCTAAGGTCAGAGACTTTGTTCATGACTATGTTACTTCCTGCACTACTTGTGGTCGCAATAAGCCTTGCCGCCATCGGCCTTATGGCTTGTTGAAACCTCTGCCGGTTCCAGTTCGACCATGAGATTCCATCTCCATGGACTTCATTGAGCAACTGCCAATGTCAAATGGCTACACAGCTATCCTAGTCGTCGTGGATCGATCATCCAAGCAAGCCATCTTTATTCCAACTTTCAATACTATCACTTCCGAACAACTAGCTAAGCTTTTTGTTATTCATGTTTTCTCTAAGCATGGTGTTCCTAATCATGTTACTTCCGATCGTGGTTCCGAATTTGTTTTGGCATTTTTCCGGGCTCTCGGTAAAGCGCTCTCCATGGAACTTCATTATACCTCTGGATATCATCCGGAAGCCGATGGGCAAACCGAGCGTGTCAACCAAACTCTTGAACAGTACATCAGGATCTACTGCTCCTACCAACAAGATGACTGGTCGCCTTTACTTCTGATCGCCGAGTTCGCCTACAACAACGCTCCTAATGCTTCCACTGGTATTACTCCATTCTTCGCTAACAAAGGATACCATCCCAACATCACCGTTTGGCCCGAGGTCGACATGAAGTCTGATCTAGACAGAGACTTCGTTGTCAATCTCGATGAACTCCACATTTTCCTTCGAGAGGAAATCCTTCTAGCTCAATCTCGTTACAAGGAGCAAGCTGACAGGAAAAGAATCTCGCACCCGGAGTTCCCGA